ATTCTCGGCGGCTCCAAATCCCGGCTGGAGGAATCTGGGCCGTCGGGCAGGACAGGCTGAGAGCTGTGGGGCTTCCCGGCAGCTCCTGCGGTGGGGACGCTGCTGCTGCGCTCACACAACCTTCGCTGGCTCCCAGGAGCCAGCCGGAGCCGCCGTGCCCCACGCCGTGGGGCTGGGGGTCCCCCGACGCAGCCCCGTTGTTCTTGCCCCCATCCTGGTTGGCATCTCCTGGTGCTGGCCGTGCTCCCAGGGGTGCGGGGGGCTTCGGTGCTTTGCAGGGAGTTTTGCGCTTGCTCTCGGCAGGTTTGCAGTGGGGGAATTGGGCCCCGGTGCTGCTGGGGAGGGTCTGGCCATGGCCGGGATGCGAACAGCCATCTGGGCAGAGATACCGGCTCATGCTGGGGGCAGGATCGGGCCCTGGGCTGTTAGTCGCGGCCGAGCGGCTGAAGGCACCTGAGGAGCTGGAGAGAACCGTGGTCCCTCGGGATGGACACAGATGAGCCCCGGGAGCAGTGGCACAGGAGGAGGGGATGACACTGGGTGGGAGCTGCTGCTCCCGGGGCTGGAGAAGGAGATAAATAAATAAAATAACCCCGAGGAGGAGGCGGCAGCAAGCACGTGGCCGCTGCTGAAATATCGGGCGGTTATTGTGAGCGATAAATATATTTGCTGGCTCGCGGGGAGCCCTTTGGGCTGGTGGTAATTGCCCTTCGCTGCGGCTCCTGCCAGCGGCTGTGGGGCTCTCCCCCTCCCCATGCCACAGGCGGCTCTGCCTTCCTCATTTTAGTCCTTATTTGTCTAATTTCGTCCCTTTCCCAGCCTCTCCCCTTTCCCGTTTGCTGAGCAGTGGTGCCTTGAGCCCCCGTGGATTTTGGGGGGAAGGGGGTGGGTTGGTCAGGGTGGGGGTTCCCAACCCCCCCGACAAGGTGCAGGAGGACACTGGTGCAGGGCAGCGATGGGGACTGAGCCCGGCACCGCAGGGGGGGTCGGGGCTCCCCAGGACCCTGCGTAGCACCCAGCGCCCAGCTTGGGGTGCAGCCCCGGTGCCAGCCTGGGTGTCCCGGTTGTGGCCCCCCAGCACTGTGCGTGGTGCGGATGGCACCAATCCGGAGAGCGCAGCTATCCCATGGCACTGCCAGGGGACGCTGGCAGCCAGGCACCGGGCCACTGCAGATGCCCACCGGCGGGACGGGCTATTTTTGGATGGGGCGCATGTGCCAACAGTGTTCCAGGGGCCTGGGATGGAGGTGGGATGGAGACCACCCGGCACGGGCAGGGGCTGCTTTGGGGTGCTGCAGGCAGTGCCAGCCCCAGGTTTGTCCCGGGAAGGGGCAGCGGCCCGTGCCTGCC